TTTACAGGGAGTGAGGAGGGAAGTATTTACACACAGCAAACTCAAAATCACAGAAATGTTTGTTTCATTTGAAATTCTGTCCCGGACTGACTGAGATGGCTTTTGTAAACTTATTTTACAGCATGTTGGAAAAGGATTTGCTGATTGGAAACTTAAACCAAATGATATACCAAGATCTGATCGTGCCACGTTATCCTTTATTCATTCAGCACTGGATATTATTGACCTTTGAATGAAAGTATTGAGTGAAATAAAAGTCACATAAAAGCCTAAAGTTTAGCTGCTCAAGCACATGGTGGTGGGTGAAGCAAATAGTCACACAGGCAGCAGAGTTTTGGATGACCTCAGGATTACATCACTGGGTGAATAACCTGTATCTCCTTCCCTGACAGCATTGTGGGAGCTGGTGTGGGAAGATAAAGCTGCTAAGGCAGCAGTGCATGCTTGTCAGAATGGATAGAGGTAAAAATCTTAATCGGATACACTGAATGGAAGGAAGAATAAAGCACTAAACAGAGCTCAAGTATTTCCATTAATAGAGGCAGAGGAAGTTAGACAAGTGCAGGGAGGGAGATGTGAGAGGAAAGTGAGGAGTGCATTAGGAGAGATCCAAAGGAATGGATGAGACGTTCAGCAGCAGATGAGCAGTGACTAAATGGAGTCAGGTGATGTTACTGGCGTGGAAGTGGGCAGTCTTTGGTGGGGATATGTGATTGAAAAGTCATCTTGAGGCCAAGTATTTCAACGTGGTTATGATGTGTTTGGTTCAGACTCAGACAGTTGTCGGGGGAGGGATTCAGTCTGTCGTGAGGCAGTGGAGTTTGTGTTGGGGACTGAAGACAAAGTCATCAGTTTTGCCAATATTTAATTGGTGGAAATTTCTGCCCGACTAGGCTGGCTGTCAGACAAGTCAGGATGGTGCGTGACCCGGAGGGAACTTGGAGGTGATGGTGTTCACATTCCCTGCTCCTCTGCTGCTTTTCAGTCGTGGAGGCCGAGTGTTTGGAAGATACTGATATGGTTATGGTATGTTGTAAGTGTTGAAAATCCCCCTCCTTCGGTCCCTTTCTTCACATAGAAGCCAGGGTCTTGTAAGAGATTCTCTCTCACTCTGTTGTTGTTTGTTTTACATCAATTTCACAGGATATTAGAAGGGGAAAATTTCCAAACTAACCACGACAACATGATCTGATGGATTTGCCAGTTTTATCACAAATGGGACGTGATCCCATTTTGAACATGGAAGGAAACAGCCCTGGAGAGAAACGTACATGTTTTGTGTGTGTGGACAAGACTTCAGGCAATTATCCGCGTTCACAAACCACAAATGCAGTCACACTGGGGAGAACCAGTGAAAATGTGGCGATTGTGGGGAGGAATTCATTTCCCCACCTGAGCCGGAAACTCATCGACGCTGTCACGCCAGTAACAGGCCATTCACCTGCTCAGTGTGTGGGAAGATACTCAGTCAGTCATTTAACCTGCTGCAACACCAGCTCGTTCACACTGAGGAGAGATCATTTCAATGTCTGGACTGCGGAAGGTGCTATAAAACTTCTGGGACTATTGTGCCATCAAAGTGTTCATACTGCAGACAGACCTTTTAAATGCCCAGACTGTGAAAAATTCTTTAAAACTTGCAGGGAGATGTCATCCCATCAATTACCTCACATTAATGAGAGGCCTTTTAAATGCCCAGACTGTGAAAAAAAAAGCAGAGATCACACATCTCAACAGTGATTGGATTTTGCAGTTCATCACATTCAGGACTGAAGGTAAAGTTTTAATATTTTGGATAAAACTCACGTCATTCAGCTTTATGTCAAAAACAGTGTGGCAAGTCATTGTAAGGATGTGATCACGGAGTACTTGGTAGATTCAGCACGTCTTCATCAAGGGGAAGTCATACCTGACAAATCTTAGAATTCTTTGAGGAAGTACTGAGCAAGTTATGTAAAGAAGAGCTAGTGGAAGTGATCTGTTTGGACTTCCACATGACATTTGACAAGGTGCCTCCTGGAAGCTGCTCATTAAGATAAGAGCCCGTAATTTCGGGGCCAAGATACTGACAAAGCTTGAGGATTGAGTGACTGGCAGGGCTCTTTTTCAGGATGGCAGCCAGTGACTAGTGGCATTCAGCAGGGGTCAGTGTTGGGACCACAGTTATTCACGTTATTCATTAACAATCTGGACAAAGGAATTGAGGGCATGTTGCTCGGTTTGCAGATGACACAATGATAGGTGGAGGGATGGGTCATACTCAGGAAGCAGGATGACTGCAGAATGACTAGTGACAGGTCAGGAGAGTGGACAAAGAAGTGGCAGGTGGAATACAATACGGGAAAATGTGAGGTTATACAATTTGGTCAGAACACGAGATACACAGACTATTTTCGAAATAGGGAAAGGCTTTAGAAATCCAAAGCACAAAGGGACTTGAGAGTTCTCGTTCAGGATTCTCTTACAGTAAGCGTGCAGGTTCAGTTGGTGGTTAGGAAGGCAAATGTAATGCAGGCATTCATTTCAAGAGAGCTGGAAACAGGAGCAGAGATGTCCTGTTGAGGCTAAACAAGGCTCTGGTCATACAGCATTTGGAATACTGTGAGCAGTTTGGCCCAGCATCTAAGAAAAGATGTGCTGGTGTTGGAGGGTTTCCAGAGGTGGTTTACAAGAATAATCACAGGGATGAAGGACTTGTCATATGAGGATTGGTTGAGGACTTTCTGTTCTTGATGGAGTTGAGAAGGATGGGGTGAGGGGTGGAATCTGTTTGAAAGTTACAGAATACTGAGGGAATTGGATCGAGTGGACATGGAGAAGATGTTTCCACTGCAGGAGAGTCCAGGACACGGGGGCACCACCTCAGAGTGAAGGGATGACATTTTAGAACTGAGAGAAGGAGGAATTTATTCAGAGAGTGGTGAATCTGTAAAATTATTTGACACAGAGAGCTGTGGAGGCCGAGTCGTTGAGTGAGGGTTATGGGGAAAAGGCAGGAGAATGGGTTTGAGAAACATATTAGCAATGATTGAATGGCAGAGAAAATTTAATGACCGAATGGTTTAATTCAGATCCTTTTTCTTATGATATTTTGGTAATAGTTCAAATAAAATTTGGTCCCTTTTGCCGTGCATTGCGTCTCTCGTGCCGTAATAGTTTCCATAGTCCCAGACAACTATAGGGCTGTGCTCTCACTAGAGAGAAAGAGAGATGACTGGTGATGAGTTTAACCTGAGAGAGCTCCTGTTCATGGGACCCAACTCCTAGTCCCTCCACAGTGGTTCCACTAAACTTCTGACCATCCACTTCTCCCTGTGTGATGGATATTTTTAACAATTCTCTCTATCTCCATTGGTTCAGTCCCTCAATTCCACCATCATCGGCCTTCTTGAGAAAGACTGACTCTTCATCCTGCCATCTTTGCAAACTGTCCATCTCCAACCTCCCTTTCATGGATGATTAAGAGTTGGGGACCACGTGTAGTGTGTCAAAGTTTGCAGATGACACCAAGATGGGTGGTAGAGCAAAGTGTGCAGAGCGCACTGAATGTTTACAGATGGATATAGATAGTTTAAGAGTGTGGGTAAGGGTCTGGCAGATGGAGTATAATGTTGAGGTTATCCATTTTGGTATGAATAACAGCAAAATTGACTACAATTTAAATTGTGAAACATAGCTGCATTCTGCTGCGCAGAGGGACCTGGATGTCCTTGAGCACGAACCAAAAATATTTAGTATGCAGATGCAGCAGGTAATTAAGAAGGTAAATGGAATACTGACCTTCATTGGTAAAGGAATGGAATTTAAAAATAGGGAGGTTATGCAGCAGCTGCATACGGTGCTGGTGAGGCCGCACCTAGAGTACTGTGTACAGTTTTGGTCTCCTGACTTGAGAACGGATATACTGGCACTGGAGGACGTACAGAGCAGGTTCATCAGGTTAATTCCAGAATTGAGATGGCTGATGAGGAGAGATTGAGTAGACTGGGACTATTCTCATTGAAATTTAGAAAAATAAAAGGGTATGGAATAAAATTATGAATGGAGTAGATATGATAGAAGCAGGGATGTTGGGTGGGTGGAATTAGAACTAGGGGGCATTGCCTCAAATAATGGGGAGCAGATTTAGGACTGAGTTGAGAAGGAACTTCTTCTCCCATAGGATTGTGAATCTGTGGAATTCCCTGCCCAGTGAAGCAGTTGAGGCTACCTCATTGAACGATTTTAAGGCAAAGATTGTTGAACAGTAAATGAAATGAAGGTTATGGTGAGTGGGCAGTTAAATGGAGCTGAATCTGGGGATTAAAACATTGCCTTCTGGGAGAGGTGACGTGGATTTGGGAGGAAAATTTTCATTCCAGGAATTTGGACGAGAAAGGTAGGTTCAAAATCAGAAAGTAACTTGCACGGATTGTAAGGTTGGAACTTGAATATGGCGGGTTTATAGCAAAAGGGACAGTACCAGCAAGAGAACTATTAACAAATGCAGAAAATAAAGATGTTCAGTGGTCAGGCATTTCATGGGAATAGGACCATTGGAGCAGGAAATGAGAATCTTGGACAAGGTGACCTCTAACATGGCATGACAGGAAATGGAGGGAGATTGAAGACACATATATGTCCAAGGGTCGGACATGGAAAAAAAAACTTTTGAGGCAGTTTATCCGAGAGAGCGAATGAGAGAGAGGGAATCGGGACAGGGAGCTGATCAGGTTGTTTCAATCTTAGTGACAAAGAAGCTCCATTTATTCCTTGTACTTATTGTTGGAGGTGAGGACGGAGGAGGCAGGAGAGAGGGAGAGCTCTTCAAAAATGACAAATTGGTGTTCTTTATTTAAAAAGCTCACCACACTGTGTAATTGATACATACCTGATTTATCTGACACCCAGAATACTAGCAACTTTAACTTGGCTGGATTTTAATAACATCAAAAGAATTAGAGCCTGATATACATGGATCAGTTCTGGATGTGATTAACAGGAAAATCCCAACACCAGAACTACTTGTGATATCGCTGGTGTCTCACCAGATGGGATGAATGAGCAAATTTCTTCTCACACTTGCAGCAGGCATGTGGTCTCTCCCCAGTGTGAACTCGCTGGTGTGAACGAAGATGAGATGATTGAGTGAACTTCTTCTGATACATGGAGGAGGTGAATGGCTTGTCTTCAGTGTGATTGCGTTGATGTAGAGTGAGTTCACATGATTGCTAGAACCCAGTCTCAGTGAGAGCACTTGAATGGTCTCTCATCTGTGTGAACACTTCGATGGTGTGTCAGTTCCCTGGAACTTTTATAGCACTTCCCACAATCTGCACATTTAAAAGGTCTCTCGGTAGTATGAACTTGCTTGTGTCTCAGCAAGTTGGACAAATTAGTAAAGCCCTTCTCACAAACAGAACAAGTAAACGGCCTCTCCCCACTATGAACCCGCTGGTGTTGCAGCAAGTGTGCCGAGTGAAGCCCTTCTCACACACACAGCACAGGAACAGCCTCTCCCCTGTGTGATGGCACTGATGAATTTCCAACTCACAGGGGAAATTAAATGCCCTCCCACAGTCCCCACATTTACACATCTTCTCCCTGACATGACTGCGCTTGTGTTTGGACAGGCCAGATGATTGGCTGAAGCTGCAACCACACACATGTTCTGTGTGTGGTTTCTCCCCACTCTGAGAGGTGTTTTCTTCTTCCATGGTCAAAATCCAATGATGTTCTGGTTACAATAAATTGAGTAATTTTTCAAATCTTGATGAGATGTTTGGTTCAAGTTTCACGACTGCAAATCCTCACCCTTGACTCCGCTGTGAAATTGATTTAAACAGAAGGAGTGAGTGAGAACCCACAAAAAGATAAAAAGCAGTGTGTGAAATTGAGCTGAAAGAAACTGGTGATTTGTGGGGAATAATCATTCCTGCACCAACCTGTCATGCCATATACAGTTCTCCCAGCAACCTCACGTGTCTTTCCATGTCTAGTATCCAGCAACTATTACTCATCCAAATCTCATATTAAACACTCCAGTTAGTTAAAGTGAATTATAAACAGAAAACTTGCTGATGAAAAAATGAAGCAAGGCTTGGGGTGAGTCTCTGAAAGCCTTGTTTTAACCAATCCAACAGCGCTTCTTCACCCTGGAATGTAAATGTAAATTGATACTTCTCCAGATTAAAATGATTTCACCAAAATCTATCGGATGTGTTAATTGGATAGATATAGAAACTATTTCCTCTCGTGGGGGAATTGAGAACAAAAGGACATGGAGGTGATAAATCTTCATCCAAACAATTCCTCATACAAAGGATAGCAAAAATTGGGAATGAAAACAGAACATGTTGGAAAATTTTAGAAGTTTGGGCAATATGTGTGCAGAAAGATATATATTACAGGAATGTGAATTTTCATCAGGAATAGGAAACATAAGAAATGTAATAGGTTTTGAGTAATGTTTGGGTTAGACGATACAAAAAGATGGTCCGTGACAAGGCAGAAGACAAAAAAGCCTAAATGACAGAAACTTTCTTACCTCAAGGCCACAGGTAATGAAGTTGGGGGTGGAAAAGAAACAAAGAAACAAAAGATGTGCCTGGAGCAGGTGTGTAGCTGAGAAAGAAACAAATTGAAACAAGAGAAATGAAGACAAAATTGGGGGCAGAGTTCAGAGTCGAAAAATGTTGGTCTCAATGGTGAGTCCAGAAAGCTTTTAAGTGCTGAATTGAACAATGAGGTGCATTTGAAGCTTACGTTTAGTGTCACTGGAAAAGTGCAGTGAGCCGAGGACAAAAATGTTAGCATGAGAGCAAGATGGAGAATGAGAAATGTAAAATCCCCGGCCGCAACAGGTTGTGGATACTGAGAGCCAATTGAACATTTTAAAACTGAGATTTTAGATTTTTGTTAAGAGCTTAACAAAGGTAAAGGTATATGAAATAAAGGTCAGTCCTGATTGAATTGAATGTTTGAGGAGACTTAAGAGACTGAATGGCCTCCTTCTGTTCCAAATGTTCTTCTGACACATTCAGAAATTCCTCAGGGTATTGGAAAGGTATTTACAAAAAAAAAGGTACTCAAGATCTCTTTTATTCATTCACAAGATGTGGGCGTAGCTTTTAGGCAGCATTTATTACCCATCCCAGTTCCCCAGAGAGCAGTTGAGAGTCAATCATCTTACTGTGGTTCTGGAGTCATATGTAGACCAGACCAGGTCAGGATGGCGGTTTTCTTCCCTAAAGGACATGAGTGAACCAGATTATTTTCTCCCCAATAATTGGCCATGGATTCATGGTTGCCACTAGATTCTTAATTCCAGGGATTTTTTTTTTGTTGAATTGAAATTCCACCATCTGCCTTGGCAGAATTCAAACCCAGAATGTTACCTTGGTCTCTGGATTAACAGTCCAGCGATAATACTATTAGGCCATTGCCTCCCCGTTAGAAAACTGGGTATCAAACAACAGTTAACACAGAAGCAAAATACTGCGGATGCTGGAAATCTAAAGTATAATCAGTTAGTGTTGGAGAAACTCAGTAGGTCAGGCAGTCTCTGTGGCGAGAGAAATGGAATTAACATTTCGAGTCCAGTATGACTCTTCTTCAGAACTTTGCACCAGTTAACATAGAGCTGCTTTGATGGCTCAGGAACATCCGTGAAGAAGCTGCCAATCTGTCCTCTCCCCTGTCCTTTCCCCAGAGTTTTGATTAGAATAATGAAATAGTTACATTGCTACAGAGGCCCTTCAGCACAATGTGTTATTGCCAATGATCGTCCTACCCCGCTACTTTTGCCCTACAGCCATGTACAATTTTTCTTTTTTGAAACATCTGCAAATCGATCACCTCCTTCCTGAAGTGCAGTTCCCTGAATTGAACACAATGCTCCGTTGGAGCGTGACCTATGTCAGATACAGGTTAATCATAACTTCCTTGATTTTCTTTGAGAGTTGGGCATCACCCCTTCTCCTGCCTGCTCGTGACATGACCATCTTTGAAAGAGCTGTCAGTTAGTCCCACTCTTCTCACCTCTCCCCTGACTCTTCCTTTAAAACCTGATTCACTGCTAGAAGTTTTTGTTTGAATTTGTTTCCACCCCTTTTCAGGCAGGGCATTACAGATTGCAATAACTGTCTGAGTAAAATCTCTCTCTCTCCTGCATTTCTGAAAATTATTTGATGTGACGTGCTCAAATGTTGAATATCTGCTAAATGCGTTTCCTGAGTGGATTTCAGGGAACATGCTCCTGACATCTTCGAGAAACCGAGGACACAAAACAGTGTGTTTGAAACAAATCTGATTTATTTGATGAATTGAAATAACGGCTTCCAGTCACCTCACAGTGTCATTAACCTCAGAAATAAAAAAAAAACTCCAATTCTCTGAATTGATTTGTTTCAGTTCTGAATCTGATTATCTGCAGCAACAACAGCAGAATCCAATTCTTGTCATCACTTATAAACTCATTGGTGTGTCAGCAGGTGAGATGTCTGGGTGAATCCCTTTTCACACAGAGAGCAGATGAATGCGCTCTCCCCAGTGTATACTCACTGGTTTCTCAGCAGGCTTTGTGTTGTTGCACTCACAGCAAGTGGTTGTCTTATTCCTCATTGTGAGTGTGTTTATGATTCAGCAATTTATTCTGCTTTTAATACACTTCACACAGCCAGAACATTGAAAAGGTCTTTAATCAATGTGAACAGGTTGGTGTGAAGTGAAGCAGGTTAAACAAGTGATTCCTTTCCCACACACACAGGTGCTGAATGTTCTCTCTCCCCAGTGCAAACTCATTGGTATCTCAGCAGAGTTCATAACTTAGTGAAATTCTTTCCATATGTGAACACGTTGATGTTAAATGAGGGGCTGAGCACCAAATGCTGTCTTCCTGCAGAGACCAATCCAAAAGTCACTCCTCACTCTGACACTCAGAATATTCTGAAGTATTCTTTTTAATCCGTGAATCCGTTCAGAGAACCATAGAAAGTTTATGGCGCAGGAAGAGACAACTTGCCCCATTGTGTCTGCACTGGCCAAAAAAACAAACATCTACCCAGCCTCACACACATTCTGACATTGGGTCTGTAGCCCTGCAGGTTCCAGCACCAGAGCTGCAGATCTAGACACGTTTTAAATGTGTTCAGGGTTTCTGCCTCCACTTCCCTTTCAGATAGCGACTTCCAGACCCTGACTGCAGATGCTGCCAAACCTGCTGAAATTTTCCAGCAATTGCTGTTTTTGTTTCACCATTTATCTGGCTTATCACAAAGTGAATCGCTTGCACTAAGAAACTGCTGAGGTCCTGGAAAAGGAGGGTCCTGCAATGTAATACTTTGGAGAGAATATATCAACATACATATTCAACAGTTAAAAAAGACAGCTCACCACTACCTTCTCAAGAACAATTCGGTAAGAGCAATCAGTGTTGTTCAGTGATGAAGGAGTGAAATAAAACAGCCGCTAATGGGGACTATTAGTCACAGACAACGGGTTGTTTATGATAGCAGCCCATGTGATGACAAGGCTAAGTGTAAGGTCTGGTGTATGGTGGTGGGGTAAGGACATGGGGAAAGGTACTCCAGCCCGAAAAGAGGAGACTATTTGTCCTTTAGTCTGGATCTAACTGAAATGCTGAGCAGTCTCAAAAGGGGCTGAATGACCTACTCCAGTTGTTCTGTACATTCTCCCCAGACTTCCCCCGCTCACAAACTTTGCTCAAGGTCTAGTTTCCTGTTGTTGTGTCTTGACGCCAACTCTTCCACGCCTTTCTGTTCATCAGTTGTGTTTGGGTCCTGGTTTATTTGGAATATAAGAACAGGAAGGGGGCATTGAATCACTCAGATCTTTTCCATCAGAATTAGAATTAGCTTTATTATCCCATGTAGTCAAATGACTACAGTGAAATACGAAATAAAAGCCAAAAGAAATATGGATGTTGCAATCAGAAGCAACAACAGAAGTTGCCAGAAACGTTCAGCCAGTCTGGCAGCATGTGTGAAGAGAAATCAGAGGTAACGTTTTGGGTCCGGTGACCCTTAAGTTTACCATAGAGCATAGAACAGTATAGCACAGTACAGGCCCTTCGGCCCACGATGTTGTGCCGAACTTCTACCCTAATCCTAAGGTCCATCTAACCTCCACCCCTACCTTATACTATCATCCATATGCCTATCTAATAGCCGCTTAAATGCCCCGAATGAGGCCGACTCCACTACCCTCTCCGGCAACGCATTCCACGTCCTGACCACTCTCTGAGTAAAGAACCTACCTCTGACGACTCCCCTTTATCTACCTCCACTCACATTGAAACTATGACCCCTCATAATAGCTACCTCCACCCGAGGAAAAAGTGTCTGGCTGTCCACTCTATCAATACCACTGATCATTTTGTACACCTCTATCAAGTCATCTCTCATCCTTCATCATTCGAAAGAGAAAAGCCCTCGCTCTCTCAACCTTTTCTCGTAAGACCTTCACTCCGTTCCAGGCAACATCCTGGTAAATCTCCTCTGCACCTTTTCCAATGATTCCACATCTTTCTTGTAATGAGGCGACCAGAACTGGGCACAATACTCCAGATGTGGCTGAACCAGGCTTTTGTACAGCTGGAGCATAACTTCACAGCTCTTGAACTCAATCCCTCTATTAATGAAAGCTAACACACCATAAGCCTTCTTAACAACTCTATTCACCTGGGTGGCAGCTTTCA